TTCCGTGGACCAATCGCGATCCTTTTGAAGAAAAAAAAAAAGCTCAACATGGCTGCTGGCCTTAGCAACGCGACGCTAGTTTCTCGTGACAATTATTCTGCTTTTTTGCTCCGTGTTTTACGTGCCCGAGGTTACGCCACGAAATCTTAATGGTATCGGCTTGTGTTTGCAGCAGTTTTTGCGCGACAACGTCAGAATCCAGCGACGCTATCGCCAACGAAAATTTCGAAGCGGGCGCGAGGCTTAGCACTGCTGAGAGGTATGTTAGACGGTATGTTAGACAGCATCTTGGATAGAAAATGAATTGGGAAGACGGTACATTGGACATGACTTTCTTTCTTTACTAAACAGCTATTTCGTTGACAAAAACGTATTCTAACTTATTTAAATGTCCTGAATGAATTAAATAAATATTGTAGTAGTTTAAGACACGTTTCCTGGAGGAAGAAAAAGCAACGTTGCTAGCGAACTACTTTCTCGACGGCGGAGGCACTTCAGATGGGCGCAATGCGCTTGTGGGTGGAGCTAAAAGATTGTTCTTAGGTTGCATCCGACTATTGGGCAGGAGATCGAACTATAGGGGGCGCTCTGACCCGTTTGTTTTCCCCACGCTAGGTGTTTACTCAACACAAGGCCTGTGCACATGCCGACAGGCCTTATGGGCATGGGCATGTCATCTTCTACAATAGAGCGCGGGGCGCAGTTTAATGTAAAAAATACTAACAATCAATGAAGCGACGTTAAGTGCCGGATCTATCCTCAGAGAATGCGAGCTTGACCCACTTCGGCTTTTGTGCTAAGCTGGGATCGTGCGTGCTGCATTGTTCATGCAGGCCCTAGTGGAAACAAGAGCCCCTCCTCCCCCTCGCCGGAGAGCACGAACTCCAGCCGAACGCTGACGCCGCGTTCGGTTATGTCGGCCGAGCGCTGCGTCATTGTATTTGTTGTCCCCATCCGTGTAGTTGTTAAGTTAACCGCTTGGGGCGTCACGGTCTGTCCTCCTCCCCAATAGTGGCGCACATCACTGAAAAACATACGCAATACAGAAAATAAGTCATTGCCTCTTGAACGCAAAACGGCAAACTACACATGGTTGAAAAAACCCCGAGACTACGGGTAAACGACAAAACCCTAAAAAGTTTTAGAGACTTGTTAGTGTTTTGTCGTTTACCCGCAGTCTCGGGGTTTTTCATCCATGTGCAATGTACACCAGCTCGTTTGCGCCCTTACTTTTTGTTCATCAAACTACACATAATTGGAGAGATTTTTTGTTTCTAAAAGTCAAATTCAGAAACCTAAACTAAATTGATGTTTGCTGAAACTCGGGGTATATCGAGACGCTGGCTTGCATTGGCTTGCCTCGAGATACTGGCTTGCACTGGCGCACCGACCGCCGGCGTAGTTTAGCGCGTCAACGTGAAATGTCTGCGACTGATGATTATGATAGCTTATTTGCCAAAAAGAGAAGGCTCGGCGCGGACCTCCCCTCTGTCAGGGCTGGATTCGGCGCTGTTGGCGTTCTGTCTAATGCAAATGAGCGGATTATAATGTATTCCCCCTATACTCTGTTTCACCCTATGATGTACCGCAGGAAAGGCTACAAGCGCAAGCTCCTTGCTCTGGGGCACATCTCGGCGGCACAAGCTCTCGTGACTTAAGAGCGGCTGCCAACGCTATGAGCTCGCGCTTCTAGCCTTCGATGAGGTACACCATAAGGTGAAACAAAGTAGAGTAAAGTATTTGGCCAGACGCAAGCGGTGAAAAGGGTGGGAGGCCGGAGAGCTGAGTGACACCGGATTGCGCGCGCTTTAAGATACATAAAAAACGATTGGGCGAAAGGCTGAGATGTCACCACTCAAGCAAAAGCGCGCGTGTATGTGAAGGCACTCTATCTGGCTCAAGGTTGATACGCCATGTGTCGGGAGAATCGGGAACTAAAACAGCGTGTCTCATAAAGCTGGCCATCGGAATCAGATGTTTCGAGACACTAAGATTTTTCTATTAACCAATATTAACATGTTTGATACTTCCTTATTCAATTTTTGCATTGAAGTTCTCCCTGAATGCGTAAGTCCATTATATGATAAGGCATTTAACAGATACTTGCTGATGTTCCATAAAAAAACTTTAAAATTAAATGCGACCACCATAAGGTATACACGAATACACCAGCACGCGTCTAGATCTCGGGTTTATCCAATCATAATGCGAGTTTATAAAATCGGTAAATCCTAATTTCAGATTTCTTTGGCAAGGCGAAACTGGACGGAAGCAATAAACATCGTTCATATGTCCAGTCCATAATAATATAAGTCATACCTTGCAATCAGCTTTGTAGATGTGCCATTCTAATCCACTCGTCAATCGAATCGTTTTCTACAGCGTGCGCACAATTTTTCATGAAACACGAAGCTTCTCTTGAACACTTGAGAACAATGTAGCGGCAACATTCCTTCGTCAAACCCACTGAACAGGGAAGCGGTGAAAAAGAAGCACTGATCGAGGTACAAACGGCCACTTGCGTGTAGCATTTCAGACGGGCTTTGCAGTCTTTCCTCCGCCGCTTCCCAACCAGATCGGACACGTTTGCTCTCCTCCATCTCACCATTTGAACTAGAAGAGAGTCGAGACCACACGGAAAGCCCACGACGTGAATATCCACAAAGCAACCTAGCTGAAAATTTCCATTAGATCCAATTGGAATTCCAACTGGTTTTAATTGGAGCCAATCGGTATTGGTGGGTTCCAGACGGAAGCACACTGGCCAATGGGTCTCACCAATTGTAATAATTTTTCCAGTTGGAACGTGAACGTGATCCAAATGGTTTCCGTTGGTTCCCACTGGCAGTGACCAATTGGTTGTCCGAAAACCTAACTGGTACCAATGGAAAATTCCAATTGGAATGTAGCGGGAATTTTCAGCTAGGAAGTGATGGCAAGTGCCTCTGGTCCCGGTCAAGGGCGGTCTTTCAAGTACAAGAAAACACACAAACTAGCAGAACGACACACTCGGTTCGAGCCAGTGGCGTACGCAGGATTTCATTTCGCGGGGGGCCGGACCAACGAGAGTAAATGGGGAGACGACGACGAAGTTGGCAGGCAAGTCCACTCTTCCTTTGGCTCCTGCTTATATTTCGATTTTTCTCTAATTATTTCATAATATTCATACCTTTTTATTTACCGGATATTAAAAAAAAAAAAAAAAAAAAACAACGTCTGAGCAAGGGAGCAGCGTTTCCAGGCGCCGACGGGCGATCTCCCGCCCGAGAATACCAAGAATGAATTCCGCAAGCCCTGGCACTTCAGGAGGCCTAACGGCCGACCAAAGTGAGCAACTGAGAGACACTGGACCCATCGGCTGTATGCAAGACGCACATCCAATCGCTGATCATGCAGCAAAAAGACCACGTACAGGTACGGAGGACTATTACGAGGACACAACCTCGAACTACTCGATAAGCGGGATGGAGAACATCGAAGAAGGAGGCACTCCATTCACCTTCGTTTCTTATAAAAAAGATCGCCCCTCAGGGATTCCAATCCTGATCAAACCAACAAACCCTGGATCATCGTTCTGGAGGGTAAATCCAAACGCAATTGCTTCAGAAATCCTCGCAGTGTCACAAGAGAAACTGATCGCGCATCGCTTCACCAAGGACGGGAGCCTGGCGGTCAATGTGGCATCACTTGCGTCAGCCAACAAACTCCTGGCCATAACCACTCTGGTTGGTGTTACATGCACAGCCACAGTCCCCAAGTCCTACTCCAGGAATATCGGAAAAATCACGGGAGTTCCTCTGGAATATACAGAAGGAGAACTCTTAGAGTTCTTGAAGGACTTCGGGGTGCTCTCACTACGACGCCAGGCGTCCTACTACCGGCGTGAAGACGATGATAGCACAGACACAATATACATGGTATTCCTAGGTAAACAATAACAAACATGGCGGAACGTCCGGCGGGCAGTCGTCTCATCCGGTCTGGCGCTCTCGCTGTGTGTTTTGATGGGCGAAAATGAGCAGCGGATATTTTAAGTGCCTTTCAGAAGAAAATAAAAGGCGGTATATCGAGAAGCTAACCTACCATGGGTCAGTATGCCTCCCTGACCCCTATGACACCAAGAACGCGACTCTTTTCTCATCCGATTTGGTGCTTTTGCCGAAAGTTACGTGGCCCTTCCTGTTTGACTACCTTGTTGAGACGCCTGGCCCATTCACACGGGAGAAGTTGAAAGCTCACAAATCTCTGGAAGCATTCAATTATTTTGTTAATGGAAAGGTAGCAAGCGTGTGCGTGCACCAACCCGTCGCTGCGACTGTGCAAGCCGGACAGAAAGGAGCTCGCAGTTACGATTCCTGGATCGTAGGTGAAGATGGTGGCGAGGTCCTGGCTGGGCACTGCACCTGTATGGCTGGGTTAGTGGACCATGATTAATTCAAGGGTGCGCTGTTCGCGATATTGAAGGTGCCCCGTTTTGACGTGGCGTTTGCTTGCTCTTGTACCTCAGGCTCGGAGAGGTTTGCAGTCACGTTGCTGCCACGTTGTTTGCAGTATTATCATGGTAAATAGAAATTGTGCTTAGTAAATCCCTTGGCCCATACATATGCGAGATATTTCAATGCAGTAAATCTATATGTCATAAAACTGCAAGAGGTGCACCATTAAGAAAATCTGAGCCAGTATTTAGTTGCTGGATTATATATTTACTTGAACAGGCACAGTTGTCTTCCTCATTGATCTCTATAGTCTTCATAGGATCAAGAGGCAATCTCTCTGAACGTATGAAAATGTCGATGTGGCTCAAACCCACTGACCACACCTTTCCAGAAAGAAAATGTCTCAAGTACCATTAGTACTCGAGGCCTGCTTGATTAGGATTTAACATGCTACTGTCTCATCCTACAGTTGTTCAGAGATATTTACCTAAAGGTGTTTCATCAATTTACAGAAAAATCAGGTCTAGCTGCAGCTCCTTTGGCAATGGACACTTACCTTTATGTGGAGGAAGAGTTCTAAGGGATTGCCTTTGGGCTGTGGCGGAACAAAAATCCTTTGTGAAGCTGGCTCTTTTGGCAGGCCACCACGTTTTGGTTGCGAAAAGTCGATGTCCACAACAGATGATGGGCCAGCCTAGATTTAGAACGAGACGAGTACACAAACATTTAAAATGGGCAGGTACATATTTAGGGGTAGATGCGCACGACTTACACGGACAAATCAATCGGAATCATGATTCTTTTTTCAAATTATTTTTAGAAGTTCCTGAGACAAAGGTAATCAGTGTATTTTGTTTGCGTCAATTCATCTTGCAGTAAGAATTCAGTAGACAAACATGTAATACCTTTCCACTGCTTGAGCTGGCACTCCATGCACAGCGCACTGAGGTCGAGGACACATCGGTGGCTCCGTGTCTGACCGCAGCCTCGATGAAAAAGAGTAGGGCAGCAACGTGACTGCAAACCTCTCCGAGCCTGAGGTACAAGAGCAAGCAAACGCCACGTCAAAACGGGGCACCTTCAATATCGCGAACAGCGCACCCTTGAATTAATCATGGTCCACTAACCCAGCCATACAGGTGCAGTGCCCAGCCGGGACCTCGCCACCATCTTCACCTACGATCCAGGAATCGTAACTGCGAGCTCCTTTCTGTCCGGCTTGCACAGTCGCAGCGACGGGTTGGTGCACGCACACGCTTGCTACCTTTCCATTAACAAAATAATTGAATGCTTCCAGAGATTTGTGAGCTTTCAACTTCTCCCGTGTGAATGGGCCAGGCGTCTCAACAAGGTAGTCAAACAGGAAGGGCCACGTAACCTTCGGCAAAAGCACCAAATCGGATGAGAAAAGAGTCGCGTTCTTGGTGTCATAGGGGTAGGGGAGGCATACTGACCCATGGTAGGTTAGCTTCTCGATATACCGCCTCTTATTTTCTTCTGAAAGGCACTTAAAATATCCGCTGCTCATTTTCGCCCATCAAAACACACAGCGAGAGCGCCAGACCGGATGAGACGACTGCCCGCCGGAAGTTCCGCCATGTTTGTTATTGTTTACCTAGGAATACCATGTATATGCAGATTCCAACCTTACTAGCCATGGCAGCTATCGCTCCTCTTTTATAGACAGTGGATGCAGCCACTTTTACTGTTCATTTGGTTTGTTCATCATATGCTGCCGTAAAGCTCCTCATTGGTGCACAACTCTGTCACCGCCTGTTAAATAAAACCAATTGTAATTTCAAACTTCAAATTTGCATCGGCTTTCCTGATAACATAACAATGCCTCATCATGCTGCAGTGATGCATTATCTAGAACATAACCAGTACCACCCATGGTTACTCTTGCAGGAACACTCTCCAGGTGCAAAGCTCTTGAAGATGGTGCCCTCTCACCAGCTGGATCCAGAGGACACAGACACGGCATCAGAGGATGGGGATGAGCCTGAGCTGCTCCCACTTCCCCTCACAAGTGTCTTTCAGGAGACCTACAAAAACCTGCCAAAGGACGAGCTCGAGAACATCCTCATCTCTGTCTATGATTGTCTTATGATCAGCAAGGTAGAGGCAGACTTTTTAGAGCGCAGCACACGGAAGCAGTCGCGGTCGGAAGCATGGCACTTACACAGGAGGGGGCGCATTACTGCATCAAATTTCAGTAGAGTGCATACTCTGCAGGGAAGCTCTAGCCCAACTCACCTGATCACAGATGTGATGGGTTATGCCACACACACTAACATCGGTGGCCAGGTGCCTCCACAAATTTTGTGGGGCATTGAAAAGGAGCCAGTTGCAAGGCAAAGCTTCGTTGCCACAGAGGCACCAAAGCACACCGACTTTAGTGTTGCAAAGGCGGGACTCGTAGTTAATCCACAGTGGCCGTACCTGGGAGCTAGCCCAGATGGGATAGTCAGCTGTGCATGTTGCCCCCAGGCTACGCTCGAGATCAAGTGCTCGTACAAATACAGACACGTGCATCTAAGCACAGTGAAGGACAAAGATTTTTATCTTGACGCAGACATGACACTCAAGGAAAACCATGCACATTATTTCCAGTTACAAGGCCAGATGGCTCTCCCTGGGCTTCAGATGGGATATTTTGTAGTGTGGACGGAGTGCTCTCTGGTGACCATAAGGATACAAAGAGATGAGCAGCTGTGGGAGGAGCTTCTGACAAAGCTGGAATCCTTTTTCTTAAGACACATTCTGCCCGAGCTGGTCACGCGGCGGCTAGATCCAGATGGCGGACGTTCTGCTGTGGCAGTGTACTGCACTTGTAAGAAGCCAGAGAAGGGTCGCATGATAGCATGTGACTCGGACACATGCACAACTATCTGATACCATTACACGTGTGTAAATCTGAAAAGAAAACCATCAAAGAAGTGGTATTGCATGAGCTGCAAATAAGTGTACTATGTTGGAAATTGCCAGCAGGGAAATAATGTCCAGTTTTGAAGGACATTGATTAGCTTTTTGTGCTAGGTATCTTTTCCTACTACAGAAGAATTGTCACTGCACCAGTTTTTCAATCTGGAGGCCCCTTTTAGCCACCATTAACTAGCAACTCTCACTTCTCACTGCATGTTCCAATTCTTTTGCAATATTCTCTTCTGTCAGTTACGCATTCTGCTCTTTGTGTGTTCATGTGAATAAAAAAGTTGTTTATTGCTGTTTGCATTTGTAAGACCCTGCATGCTTTTTGAAGAACAGATCAAGAACCACCATCCTTCTTCTTGCCAAAAATTGAACTGCGCATATTTACAAGGGCAGCACATATAACGACGATTTTGTCAATCGTTGCCATGCCCCTGTCCCCCTTTTTTTCAGAAGTGAGACAGGAATGATGCGCTGCAGGAGGTGGAACTTCTTCAGCTGACCAATGGTTCTCTCGACTTGTATCCGAACACTGGAGATCCTTCGGGACACTTCAACTTCTTGGCGTGTTAGCTGAGTCTTCCCTCGTGTATAGGCCGGGACTATCAGGAAAGCCCCACGAATAGCTAGAAGTTCTTCAATGGGAAATCCCCTATCGGCCATCACGAGGTCCCCGCTCTGAATGAAGTCCAAAAACCCACAGTGTCTTGTGAGCTCCAGATCGCTCACCTTCCCACCCCAGCATTTAGAAATGAAACAGATCCCTCCACTTGGACAAATGGCGATTAAGAACTTTACCGTGTTATGATGTTTGTAGGACGAGAACGTTTGCGTCCTTGCCTTAAAGGTGCATGGTCGCTCTATGAAGATTTCCGAGCAATCAATGATGCACTGAAGGTTCCGTAGCATTGGTACCTTGCACAGCTTTGGGAGCCGCTGTCTAACTGTGTCCGCTTTAGGCCAGAGAATGCATGGAGACAGCTCAACACTGAGGATGTTAATCCAGGCATGGAAGACTTTTGGTACAGTTCCAGGAGAAATTCCAAACCTGGACGATAGGTCCTTGTTGAGGAGGCCGAGGCGGAGCTTCATCAACACCATCAGGAGTTGGCTCCAGTGCGGTATCTTGGCACTGAAGTTTGGAGTGTAGAGTGCCAGAATGTAATGGAGCAGAGCCCAGAACATTCCGTTGCTTGGTAATCCTGTAAAGAACTCCACCTCCGAGTCATTCTAGAGGTTGACGTTACCATACACAGTTTTTGTTTCTTCTTTGAGAGCTTGATTTTCCATTTGCAGCCTCCTATTTTCTTCCAGAAGAGTGTCAATGTCAGCGCTAGACATATCTGTTTCGCACGACACACCTGTTATCTCTTCCTCATCCATTGGTGCATCGGGCGCGTCGGGGGCACCGGCCGGGTCAGGCGCGTCGGCCACTTCGGGTCGCATCCGTGACGACGCACGATGATACCGCCGCAGTGCAGCAGGGCTCCGCCGTGATGAAGAAGCCCGATGAGCAAAGATGTGTGGCACCCAGTCTGGGTGATTGGGATCGTCAGATGGTGATCCTAGAGGAAATTGAAACAAAACGAAACGTATGGCTGCGCTGCTCGCGAAGGCCTGAGGACGTGGCAGCTTTCCAAAATAAAGCGGTAATCTTCTCTACAACTATACACAGCACTCGTACTTACCAGTTGTGAAATGCTTGCTGCAAATCCTTGTATCGTTATTGGGCACAAACCCAACGCGTTTACCAGCGACGGCCCAAGCTTGGCGGCGTCCCTCGTTCCTCGGAAATCTAAATAATTTAACTTTTGACAGTCTGTTGGTCCCGGCCTGCATTGTGCAGCCAACTGCACAACACTGTGGCATCTTCCCTGTGACCTGATGTTCAGAAGGCTAAACTGACTAAACGGTAATATAAAATGCTGAAGCACAGGGAGCTACTCGCAAGAGCTCCCTCCCATAATTGCCTTGTCAGGCAATCGACGCACTTACGTCCAGCGGCGTCATTTTGCAGAAATATACAGAAACAAAATTGTGAAGCCGACTGTTAAACTCTGCGGTAAACACCCAGAAAACGCAAAATATGTGGGCAGAATAACCGAACGAACACAACCTGCTGAACGCGTTGCCATTGAAAAACATGTAAACAAAACCCGAACCGGAAAAGATTTCTGCCCACTGTCATGGCAACCGGAAGTGCCCGGAATGCCATGTATATCACGACAGCGTGATACTTCACTTCCGACCAGACAAGCCACTACCAACCCGGGTAATGTTAGGTTTCACAAGCCATCCAGTCCAAGAGTACTTTTGAACAGCTGTGCAGTGTTTCCGCTGTCAGAAACATGGTCACATTGCCAAGTACTGCCGGGGACCGCAGCGGTGTAAAGTTTGCGCGGGATCGCATCATCATAAAGAATGCGATTTAAAACAATCTCCTCTCTGTGCGAATTGCGCTGGACCCCATGCAGCGTCGTACGGAGGATGCCCAAGTAAGAAAATTGCGTCTCTGTCGAGGAAACAGGAACTGCAAGAAGGAAGACCACAAAAGAGACGATCGCCTCCGCCCAATCCAAAGATGATTCGCACAACTCCAGTTCCAAGTCTTCAAGACCCATTGCACTTTCCCCACATACAAGGGGCGAAGGGAACGTACTCTACAGTTTTGACAAGCAACCCACTGAAAAGTCAAGTGCGTCAAAAAACCCAAGCTCCGGACGCACAGGAAACTCGACCAAAGCAGACTGTCACTTCACCTATACCTGCACCTCGGAGAAAACGTGCGAGCAGAAACGACGGTGGTACGACTACGAGGAACATACAATCAGAAAATGACAGCTTGGAGAAGATCATCCTTCCACTTGTATTCGCTGCGTTAAAAGCAATCTTACGATCATTTCCGGACATCCGAAATGTACAAGAGGTACAAACTCTCCTAACGATGGAACCTCTGATTACCCTTGCATCACGGGGATTCCAAACTCAACCTTATGAATAAGTCATATGAAACAACTGCCATATTTCAATGGAATGCAAACGGATTACGCTCAAAAAGCGGTGACTTCCGTCATTTCATTGCCCAATACCAATTTCCTATTTTGACTCTCTCAGAGGCCAGAGTAAATGATGATTTTCGTCTTTCAAATTATGTAACATACAAATCACAGCGTTTAAATGGACTTAGCCGAGCCATGCTCTTTGTACGCAAGGACCTGCCCTCATCTCTAGTGGCCTCATCTGACGACTGCGACGCACCGGAGTATGTTACTTGCAAACTTCTATTCGGGCGTGTGAGTGTGTGCTTGTCAAGCGTTTACATCGAACCTGGTGCAAGTGTATTGTTTTCTTCTGTTTTAAAAACCATAAGTGAGCCCTATATTGTATGTGGTGACTTTAACGCCCACAACACAATATGAGGAAGTGATCACACGAATGCGAGGGGGCGTTCGATTGAAAACATTATGGACAAATTCGATATTACCCTACTTAACGACGGTTCACCAACATTCCTGAGAGGTCACGATTATTCGAGTTGCCTGGACTTGACTATGTGCTCAAGTGAATTTGCGCCCGGCATAACCTGGAGAACGGATACTGAAACTAGGGGAAGTGATCACCTACCGATTCTCGTGCATCACCCCAAACTTTTGCGCTCCAAAAATCGTCGACTAATTTCATACACAAACTGGAAGGCGTTTCGCCATTTCAACACGGCAAATATTAATCAAGTGGCAACAATTGACAACTTCGCAGAATGCGTCAGCAGCAACCTCAAAAGAGTGACCCGAAAACTTCCCGTTCCGCAAGGTCACACAGGTATAAACGGAGAATATGAACGGCTGCGGGCCATACGCCGCAGGTCAGAACGTCGATATAGAAGAACTGGAAGTCTTGAGTTTTATAAGGAAGCCCAACGCATCCACGGACTTATGCACAGAGAATTACAAAAACTGGCTACAAAAAACTGGCGAGGAATGTGCGGAACATTGACTCCATTCACTCCGATACCCAAAGTATGGATAATTCTACGCAGCCTGCAGCTCCCTGTTATCCAGAAAACACCATTTCGCGCTTTGGCTGTTGCACGCGGTGTACTTGAAATGACCGTGGCCGACGAGTTTTGTAAATTGCTCTCAAAACCAGGAGAAGCGGCCAACAGCTCTGAGCACAAATTATCTTGCACTTATGCTGAAACCAGTTTCAAAAGGCACAGCTCAGAAGCTAATGTACAACTGGACAGCATGTATACCATGGGAGAAATGAAAACCGCACTTCGGACAACAAGAAAACGCACCGCCCCTGGTCCAGATGGTGTAACGTATGGAGCGCTCGCTAATCTTGGACCAACAGCAACGGACGTATTGTTGCAATTCTTCAATTGCATTTGGGAAGACGAAATTCTTCCTGAATGCTGGAAGATCGCACAAGTTGTTCCGATATTGAAGCCAGGAAAATCAGTCCGTGGAGTCTTTTCGTCCAGTCAGCCTCACCAGTTGTATAGGCAAGCTGATGGAAAAGCTTGTGAACGAAAGACTTCAATGGTGGCTTGAGGTCAACGACGTTCTTCCATACCTAATGACCGGATTCCGACGCCACCGCTGTACCATGGACAGTGTCATAGACCTAGTGACTTCTGTGGAACATGAAAAAACTCTGGGAAACGTCACCATCGCCATATTCTTAGATATCCGCCGTGCATTTGACACAGTAAGTCACATTCATGTGCTTGAAGGACTGCTAAATCTTGGGGTAAGAGGTAGAATGATTCGGTGGATCGCTAACTTTCTAAAAAATAGGAAAATCTTTGTCCTTACATTAGATGGAAAAAGCAAAGACCATGACATGCCTCATGGAGTCCCACAAGGCAGTGTCTTAAGTCCGACATTATTTAATGCCGTCATTTCCCAGCTCTCCAAATTGCTGCCATCATGTCTCAACTTTTCCATATACGCGGATGACATCTGTATTTGGGCTTCGAGCTCTTCTATACAAATACTTCAAGCACAGTTGCAGAACGGCCTAGATATCATTGAAAAGTTTCTAAAAGAACGCGGAATGGATTTATCGGTAGAAAAATCTGTCGTTCTGCCGTTTACGCGGAAACGTATAGAAGAATTTAAACTTGTTTCGCATGGTCGAAACCTTGAAATGGTTCGTGAACATCGATTTCTAGGAATAACACTTGACCAATCACTCACATGGACGAAACATGTAAATGCGCTAGAGACCAGAATTAATAGAGTTATTCATGCCCTGCGCTGCATAGCAGGCACGAAGTGGGGAGCTTCAACATCGGCA